CCTCCCCTGTAGGCCTGATCTCACCCCCAACTGCCCTCTCAAGCCGGCCAATTTGGCTCTGATTGGCCGGTTTCTATGCCAGTCAGCGTTAAAAGCTCCGCCTCCTAGGCAGCCAATGGCTTCTCACAGTTCACCCAGGTTTGGTACTGACTGGTCAGTTTCTATGCCAGTCAGTGTCTCCGGGCCTATCTCTGGGCCTGATCAGAGAGGCAGGGCTGATCAGCAGCCTCTGTGGAGGCTCGGAGAAACAGAGGTGCGGCTGCTGGCGAAGCCTGGAGAAAGAGAGGCAACGGCTGATCAATAGCTGCCACGGAGGCTGTGGATCAGACCCTGCCTCTCTCCAGGCCTAATCCACAGCCCCCTCGGCAGTCAGTGCTGGGTTGTGGCAACCCAGCACTGACTGCAGGACTGACTTCCAGTGTTCGGTCGAGCCTTCGGTCGGTCATGATGGACCCTGGGTTTTTATATATTAGAATAAGAAATCAACAACAACAAAAACATCCTCAGGTGAGAAATAACTGTAACAACAACAGCAACAAAAATTTCAGCAATGGTTTGCTCCACATGCTCCACTAATGTTATTCCTAAGAAGTTTCTTAGTTTTGTTAAGTTTGAGAATAAAAACTTTTCTTTATTAATTTTCTTAGTGCACAAATGCTATTAATTTTTGAATATTGTCTATCCAGCAGTTTTATTAAACAAGAGTTTAATTCTAAGCTTTTCAGTAGATTTAGGCTGTTCTAGGTATATATCCCTATCACTTATAAATAATGAACATTACACTTGCCCAAAGCTGAGTAGTAATAACTTTCATTTCTATATGACTTTAGTTTTTAGGAACTTAGAACTGTTAATTTATTATAGTATCTGACTAATTTCTGTAAGTGTTTCAGAAGAATGAATATTTTGTACAGAATAATGACAGTAACTATGGGTCTGATATTGCACTAAGAAATTTATACATATCATTTAATTTAATCTATTAGTTCTTTGAAGTAGATATTACTATTCCCATTTTACAGATGAGGTTAAGAGATGTTTAGTAACTTGCCAATTATCATATAGTTAGTAAAGGGTAGGGCTGGGAGTCTTTCACCTATACCAAACTGTCTCCCTTTCTTCATTAATATTTCCTTGGTCTTTTTGGGAAACAAATAACCCTGAAACTAACAAATAAAAATAATTCCTTGGAATTTACATTAACTTGTAGCAATATACCAAGTCACCCATTTGACTAGCTTGGTTTTAAATAAATATTTTCCTTTTGTTTATATTGCTCCTTATTATTAAGGCAAGGTGTATTATTTGTATGTTCCTCACTGCTAGAGACAGGAGCAGACGTTCAATAAAGGTTGGTGACTAGTTGTCCTAATTCCATTCCAAATAATGTATATAGTAACCAAGGCACTTTCCCTATGTCTTTGTCAGTCAGGACATGATACTATACAACCTCACTTTCCCAACTTAAATATGTACACACTTAACAAACACACACATCACACAAATAAAAATGTGCATTAGGCAGATTTCAAATGTATACCAGACAGAAGATTTCAGTTAAGTTATATAGTTACTGTACTATAAAAGCTACCATAAATTGATAATATAGATAGAAATCTGGTACCAGCATTTTTTCACATTAATCTGGTTTGAGTAAATCTCCATAGTACATGATAAGTAAAATATTTTAAGTACGTGGTATTTATCTTCTACACGTTCCACACTGGGATTTTATTACCCTGGGATTATGCATGTGATAATTTATAAGGTATAATACAATCTACAGATAGAATAAAATAAGTCAATAATTTGAAAATACATTTTTAGCGGCATATTTTCCCCCAATACATTATACAACATTTTAACATAAAGCAGATATTAGCAGATAAGTGCACTTACTTAATACAATTTTGTATTTACTCAGCAGGTCAATGAAAAGAAACAATGAAGTAATTTTTATGAAAATCTGAAATATCATGCTAGCTGCAGGCTTAGATGACTTTTAGCATGTAATTTATCTTGATATTTTATTTTAACTGCATATTATCCACCAAAACTGAGATAGAGAGATAAACTTAGGGAAATCACAGAGAACTTCTCAATTAAGCTGATATTAGTAGGAGAAACTTCAGTAAAAAGACTGTCCCAAAATAACCTGGTGCCATAATTTCATGAACCCGTGCTTTCAATGGCAATTCAATTACACCCCCTGCAAGAGTCACTGTGAAAACTAGTGGATTGGATGACTTTTCATGGCGCTGTAGTTTAAAAATGAGGACTTCACATCAGATTCAAGATTGTCTTCTAAAAATTTTGATGCTAACAGGGCAAGCCCTTTTTAAAAGAAACAATTTCTAAATTTCTTGTTTACTTCATTCATCCACTCACCCTTCAACCAAGCCACACCCACCTCAATTACCTACAATTGTGATTCACTCCTGAATAGTGTCCTACATCTTTCTTACTTCTTTTATAAATATGAATAATGCTTCCCTAAACTTACTGCTTAAATATATCTATCTAACTTTCTTTATGATAAATATATCTAACTTTTAAATAACTATCTTTGCTGTTATCTGTACACTATTTCCTACTTTGTCATCCTAGAAAAAATGATCCCTGACTTAAGATCTCTCTCTTCCTTATTTAAAGAACAATGCTATTTCTTTTTGTATCAGACTTTTTCAGTATTCATACTGAAATAAACATAGCTCATATATTCAGAAAGGTTTGAGATACATACCTGCATTGTCTTTGCAGATACTAGAAGAGTTACTATTCTCATTACTTTGGTATAGATGCTGAGTTCTAGTCTCTTGGGGTACAGATGATGTTTGAGTCATCCCTTCTTCCAAGGCTTGCTTTATCCAGCGCTATAATGGGAAAAGAACCAGGAAATTATCAATAATTATTTAAAACTATTAGTATATCTATTTCAAATGCATTAACCAGGTCATTACATATCAACTGGCGAGAGATGCAATCCAACACACTCATTCAGTTCCATAGTAAAATATTTTTTTTTCTTGTGTTTCAGCATATTGGAATATTACCCATCAATTCCTTTTACTGGGCAAAATTGAGAAAACTTAGATTACACATAATGAGATCTCATTAAAAAACCAAAACCAATAAAAAAAGATTACTCAACTTTTCATACTGCTTAGAATGGGGGAAATGGAAAGAGATAAGAAGAAATCTTAGCATTTATTTAAGAGACTGATCATATAGGATGAAAGTAGCACATAAAATAAGTGCCAAGAAGGAAGATAAAAGAACACCTCTTTACTACAGGTACCAAAATACTTCTAAAAGGTCTACTCTCAGAGGGAATATCCTGCTAATTTTTCTCCCCCTATCAAGTAGTTGGTTAAATTATGCATAAATAATGCAAATAACCAGAATAAATGATCTGTAGAAATAAAAAAGGGGAAAGCCACATTTTTTTTTTTTTTTAGTGAATACTGGAATCTAAATGATGAAAAATAAATTAAGGTCAGGAAGTAAGCCTACAAAGATTAGGATTGTAAAACTACGCATCCTGTGGAAGAGAGAAAATTTCTTACCTGTAATTGTGTTCTCTTAAGATACACAGTTGTAGGTTGCTCACCACTGTGTGGCTCTCCTGCCCTGACATAAGACAGATCGAATTTTGATAAACATCAATTTCTGAGTAGGACCTCCATAAGAAAATCAAAGGTGTTTATAATTTCACACCTTTAGAGAACACGTATTACAGGTAAGTAAATATTCTCTTCACTAAAGAGAGCAATTTTAATAGATTTACCTGATTAGAAACGTAAGAAACAATTATTTTCTAGGGAATAATGTGAGGAAAATTTCACCAAGAAAAATTTTGTATCTTGTAAATGGCATTGTGGACTGCCTGCCAAATAAAACTAAAATAAAGTTGTAAACATGAGGAGAAAAGAGTGATTAAGAATATAAAAAGATCTCCACAATCAATTGAATCACATCAGCATTGCAGAATATGACCAGGTCTCTGAAAAGCCCAAATAAGACCAAGAATGAACTCTTTTATACACAGAATATTGATGTAAAGATGAACTATCAGAACCACAACTCCTTATGACTTAAAGAAGACCTCAGAAGTCCCTTGTCCAAAGCACGTAGTGTACAGATGAAGAAAATTAGGATCAGGAGGAAATGATTGTAAAATCCTTCATTATAGATACCTTTAGTAAAAGTTTTTCTTTTCAGAGCAGATGACAGGACTTAATTGGGGTTACTGTGCTTTCCTTCAAGAGAAAAGTAGATGCACCCATAAAAGAAGTTACATTCTGGATTTGATAACCAAAAAAAGGAAAAATAAAACAAGGATAGGGGCATTCTAAGGAATAAGATGCTGCTATGGTTGGATATAAGATCAAACACAGCAAATATGATCTAACCTATTCCTCCTGGCCCTATTGTATGTCTACACAGTTATTTTATGACTCATAAAAAAGGAACATGAACATCTGTATCTAACAAGTTCAAATCACACCTATAGCTAATAAATTAACATTAGATAGCCCGTCCCTGAGTCCCAGCTATGGTTAAGGTCAAAAGAACATTTCTTCCTTCTTTAAAACTCTGTATTACAGAACTTTTTAGGAAGCTTAGAGATGAGAGGGAGAAATATTTTAAAGAATAAAGAGTAAGAAAGTAACTTCGGTTTTAGTTCAAAGATCTGTGTTGAAACTTGGCCATGCCTTTTACAAGCTGCCTAACTCTGGGCAAGTTACTGAACCCTTCTAAGTCAAAGCTTCTGATCTATAAATTGAGGCCAATAATCCCAACTTCACAGGGCTGTCATGTAGGCTGAGATATTGTATGTGAAGAAAGTTTGTAGCAGAGTACTGAGTACAAATGATCAGTGAGGAATTGTTCAGCTGAATTTCAATGCTATATATAGAGATAGAGATTAATAACCTTCCAATGCATACAATGAAATATCAATGCAAAGCACAGTGTTTCATTTTTTAGTCAGGATGGTTTTCTAAGAAATCCGGGAGACCAAATGCCATACGTATATTATGCCTTCAAGGTAAGTTTAGAGAAGATTTAGAGAACAAGGAAGGATACTACTTGAAAGTCTTCTCAGCCACTTATAAATGCTTCCATTCTAAAATAAGAAGTGAAGCAAGATCCAACAAAAGACATACATACCATAACATGCTTTTTAAGAACTATGACTTGGTTTACTTTAGAAACTCCAGGGAGATCATAAAATATTCTGTCAAATACTCTAAAAGTCTGGGTGCAAATACACATATACAATTTTACGCTGTTTTTTTACTTAAGAGGCCTGTACCTCCTTTAATTAGATATGAAACAGGCCTATTAATAATATACACTGTTCCAACTAAATCCCAAGGAGGGTAGTTTTTCTCATCTACCTGTTTAACCTACATTCTTCTTTAGGGTATCATCAGACATTTATTACAATTTTGTTTAATCACAGAAATCTTAGGTTCTGCACTAGATTAATACTTTCTATCCAATCTACAAATGACTCTTCTTCATAACCACCCAGGATAAAGCTGAGTTTGACTGCTAGATAAAAGCCCCAATTTTATTAGTTTTGCCCCATAAAAAACTACATTCTGGTTTTGTAACGTAATTTTGGTATGTCAACAGCAAATCTTAAAGCCGTGATTTGTACTTAGTTCAGATTTAAACTTAAATGAATAAGACCCAATTTAAGTAAGGTAATTTTACTATGATAATTCAGAGTACATAGCCTGAATTCCTGAAGACTGGTATGACACACATAGATGAAAAGTGCCTGTGAAGAGCCTGAATATAACAAGACTAAGGACAGACAGACACATTTGGAGAATATAACATGAACATGAATTAAATGGGATTTCTATCTGTTGCCAGTAGAGATATAAAGATGAGCCAGATACAAGCCCTAAACTATAACCTGGGAAAAAGAGCTCTAAGAAGTAGATTTTCTATGAAATTTTAAGTTTTATTTCTATACGTTTTTGGTTTTCACAGGACTCTGTTAGTTGGAAAAGCAAGATAGGAATAGAAAGACCATAACCCAGCATCAGAATAATCAAGGCATCATTTCAAGAAGCTAGTCTATACTATTTACAATTCAGGCTTCACTGTTAATCTGTACTAAATAACTGTCTAACCTTCATAAAGGACCAAAATAGGAGATTCTACAATCTGGCTTGATAAGATGCTTCAACAGTTAACATTCTTAGAAGTCTAGTAATCTGTTACTGCATTATCTATAAACCATTTTGCAAAGATCTCATGGTTAAATTGCACTTTAGTTCTACTTGGGAATTTCCCCCAAATAAACCAGTAAGTGACTCAAATACTTAGTAGGTAAGATGTATGATTAGGAAAAGACTTTCTTCAGTGTATACTGCTCATTCGGTGGTAGGGCCCTTCCTTTGTGCACAGATCCCTGTTGCCCTCCTCCCCTCCATATCCCACACCACTCTGGCTCTTCTTTCGTAACCCCCCTCCCCCCAAGAAATAATTTCTGCTCTTTGGGGAAAGAGAAAAGCTTTAAGTTTGGAGGAGTCAGGGAAGACCTGCCTGGAGCTGGAGACTTCATCACATCAAATAATCTACATGCAGCATCCTCATGTACGTGATGCCAGTGGAGGAGGGCAATGGCAGACACTGAGGAAGGCAGCCTGAATCCAGATCTGAGGATAAGAGAAAAGGGTGTTCCAGGGAACAGACTACCTCAAAGGAAGACCAAATGAAAGGGTGTCCTATACTTCTAGAAACACAAAAATGACATTATAGTCTGAGGCAATGATCTATTCCTGAGAGACACCTTTGGAAAATATTCAGGGCTTCTGGGAATTAAGAAAGAGCATTCCAAAAACAAACAACTCAAACACTACTGCCACTAGATCCAAAAATAGTGTGTAACTAGAGAGAGGAGAGACAGGAAGAGAAAGAGATAGAATGAATTTATAGTAGGTTCCATATTCACTAGGGAATAAACAATCCAACTTGTCATTTGATCAAGGAACAACAATTATGCCAATTGTAATAGGACATTTCCTCTACTCTAATTCAAATGATAATAGTGACTGAATTAATTTAAAACACAATTCGATAATTTTTTACTTATGCAACAGTACTTTAGAGTATCTGGGGCCCAATCTCACTCAAAATCACAAATGGACATTTTAACCAATACCACAAGAGCACACACAGAACATCCCTCCCTTCCCAGGCATCAAATGCTGTGCGCTCTCAACTCAGTAACCTCAAGGGCTCTCTGAAGACAATAGTGAATACTCACAAACTGAGCACCAACAACGCAGTACACAACATCCGACCTTAGTCCCACTGAGTTTTGATGCATCGGTATTCAAGGTTGAACAATTAACTCATAATAAACTCACATGGGCAGAGAATAGCTATCTGAAGAATGTGTTAGATATGTTAGGATTGCAAGCAACCTAGGTTAAAAATAAACATTGACATACCTTTTTACAGGAGCTGAATGTGCCATCAGGCAGAAGGGGCCTTCGACGCCTCTCAGGGATAAAGGGTGAGCCAAAGCGAATGTAGTGTTTGGGGGTGGTGCAAATTAACGGGGAATGGATAAGACCAGGTAACATGTTCAGGGTCGTTGCCAGTACAGTTGGGTCCGTGGTGATACGTAAAGGGCACTCAACAGGGCATTCTTGCTTCTCAGCTTTGTCATTCAACCATTCTGTAACTAGATACTAAAGCAAAAAAGAGATCATTAGTTGACGCTGCAGATGTAAAAGCCAGAGGCAGCAGTGTTAGATGATAGACAAACCTCATCTAGAAACTAGGACTCAGGTAGATACAACAGCTGCAGAAAATGAATTGGGCATTCAAAATGCAAGGATGTTTCCTTCACCTTCTCTGTGACCACAAAAGGAGGAATAATTCCAGATATCAGCATTTACCTCTGCCCAAAAATTATGGGAACAAAAGCACTGTAGTAGATGGCTTCAGCCCTCTGTGTTAAAATATTTTAAAACTTTCAATTTAATAATATTTAGAGTATTTGTTTTTTTTCTCACTTTACTAAGACACAGCCCTCGCCAGACTAGACTTATGAACATGTTTTCATGACTCACCTTTTTGGTTTTGGGGTATTTAGACGCTGCACGGTTGACATGGGATCCAGTTACTGATGCCATAGTTGGGTCAGATCCTGTTAATTGCCTGCTTTCTCCTGAACTGTCTATACTTCCAGCTTCAGTAGGAGTTACTGAACTGTTATTTCCTCCTTCTTCCAAGGCAGCTTGTGACAACTCTGCCTGCTGTGCAATGGCCTGCTTCTGACGCTTTAGTCTTTGGGCTGAACTGGTCCGGTATCGAGAAATACGACTCTTCGGTCGGGGCCTAGAAGGCTTTGCTGGAGGTGGTTTGGGGACTGGCTTTTCTATAGCAACATCCTGTAACAACAGCAGAGTAAATGCTTACTAGAAATTTCTTATCAGCAAACATTCCATCTAGCCCCCTATTCCCTTTAAGCATTCTGAATGTTCACTAGTGAAAAAAGCGAGCATTTAGAAGCACTAATTTCAAATGTAATTCTTATAAAAGTTAAATAGTGAAATTAGCTAAATAGGCTGTAGGTAGATGCCTTGGTTATTTATTTATTTAATTATGTATGTATGTATGTATTTATTTATCTTCTTGTAAGTATTTATAAAATAGGTCAAAAGTCAGCTGAAGCCACCTAATTTTAGGGATCTTAGCAAAGACAATTCTCTCCTTTGTTTCTTTCCCACACACTAAGGTTTTAGTTTAAGGCTTAGAATTCAGGGCTAGGGCAGGGAAGGGAAACATGAGTTTACCCTGAGAATACTATGAAAGGGCAGCTGCATGACTGTGTTATACAGAAGCTCCAAAAGAGAAACCAAATAATTTTTATGAACTCATCACCAAGAGTTTATCTGGCAGAAACAATATGACATTTCATTCTAGTCTAAAGTGTCTGGTCATTCCAATTCTGCCTCCTGTTTCCCACAGCTGATGAAAATGGCCTTATTTAATGCAATATGAAATAAAACTGACAATTCAAATTTTAACAATTTCCAAAAACCAGGTAACTGACATTAGCAAAAGCAAGGATGTTGAAGGCTGGAATCTTTTCTTCTCTTACCCCAGCTTGGGAAGACCTTCGGGTGTTCACCCCAATACTCTGTGGGGTGCTTGGAATGGCCACATTTGAAGCAGAGTTGCTAACTTCAGATTCAGGAGTTTCAGTTTTTGTTTCTTCCCCTACAGGTGTCTCTGAGGCATTGGTAGTAACCTCTACGTCAGAGTTGCTTTGTTCCAAGGACTGATCCCGTCGCTTCTTTCTTTTCTCCAAGTTTTCAAAAGCATGCATGATGGCTTCAACCTTCCTATCTTCCCGGGTCTAGGAAAAAAACACATAGCATTAGCATAGAAGAAGTTTCAACCATGGGGGGTGGGGGTGGGAGAAACAGCTTTCAGAAATATTATTTATGAAAATTTATAGACATTTACAAAACTATCAGTACATATACAGTAGGTCCTTGGGTTACATCGGAGATCTGTTCCTATGGCACGATGTAATGTGATTTTTGCTGTTAAGTTGGAATCCACCTACATAAGCACCTACATCACTCACATGGAGCACATACACAGCAGTAATAAAGTGAAACAGTAAAAAAAATTTAAAAGAAAGATAACAATTCCTGGCCTTTACTTGTGGTAAATAATAAAAAACATAAAGCACATATGTACATACGTCAAAATGACGAAACTTTTTTTTTTTTTAATAAATAAATGGGAGATAGCGATGTAACCACGAAACGACATATGTCGAGTCCGACGTAACCCGAGGACTGTCTGTATCTTGTAAAATAAAACATAAAAACTAAAAATAAAGTATTTAAGTGTTAGAATTTTAAAGGAAGGTCAAACCTTAACTTTTCAAACAAGGCCGGCTATCCTGAAACTTTAATATAAAAGAATAATAGCCATCAAAACCAATTACTTCTCTGCATTTTCAGAGTTCAAAGTAACCAAGTAGATTTTCTTGAACTTCTTCTGAGGGACAGAAATAAACATGGATGCCCTAAATGGTGTGGCTCAGTGGATAGAGCGTCGGCCTGCGGACTGAAGGGTCCCAGGTTCGATTCTGGTCAAGGGCAAGTACCGTATTTGCCGGCGTATAAGACGATTGGGCGTATAAGATGACCCCCTAACATTTCCACTCAAAATACAGAGTTTGTTATATACTCGCCGTATACGACTACACCCTCTTCCGCACA